CTGCAGCAGCATCACTTTGCAGGGGATGAGAACAAAGCAAAGAGCAGGATGGGCTGGATGGTCCTGACAGCTTCAGGGACGGAGCTTTTTACAGCTAGTGCAGAGAGGACATGCCAATCAATCATAGAATTGCTCAGGTTGGAAAAGACCTTAAAGATCATCAAGTCCAACCCCAACCCAACCATCCTACCCCAACTCTAACAGCCCTCTGCTAAATCATGTCCTTGAGCACCACATCCAGATGGTTTGTAAACACATCCAGGGCTGGTGGCTCAACCACCTCCCTGGCAGCCCATCCCACTGCTGAACAGCTCTTTCTGTACAGAAGTTTTTCCTGAGATCCAACCTCAACCTCCCCTGGCACAACTTGAAGCCATTTCCCCTCATCCTGTCACCACTTCCCTATCCTTCTAAATAAGGTGGAGATGTGGCTGGCCTGATCCTTCTGCAAGGTCTGTGGGTGCTGGAGCTGCCTGCAGTCGGGTGGGCTGTGCTCACTTTCCATCCACGGGACGAAAATGGTCTCTTGCTCATGAGTTAATTGGCGTTCATTAGCAATGACACGCACATCAATCCCACCAGTCGGTGATCCTTGGCATTTGGGGTTTCCAACTGATGGGTTGGGCCTGGAGCCCCTCCTGATGGGGGCAGGCTGGGAATACTGGGGCTGTGCATCTGGAAGGGGAACACTGAGGGGGGATCTGAGCAGTGCTGATGGATATCTGATGGCAGGGGCTGGGGCTGCTCAGTGATGCCTGGGGTTGGACTGGAGGACTCCAGAGGTCCCATCCACCCCCACAGCTCTGGAGTTCTGTTTAGAATAATTCTTAACAAAATATGAAGGTGGATTACCGTGATTGGATGCAGGGCTCAATAAAACAACCAAATCAACGTGCAGTTTGCTTATACATGATTTCTGTATTGGCCTCCATGTCACCCCTTTTCTTTGTTTTCAGTACTTATGCATTTTGCTTGGCTCCTCCCAAATAAGCAATTCCCTTCCCCAGTTAACTTTTCCCCATTGCTCTGGGGTTTTGCTGCACTGATTGGTGCTGTTTGCTGAGGGCATCGTGTGCATCTGGGCCATGACTGAGTTTCCTCAGTGCTGCTGGCCCTGCTCCATTCCTGTCCCCATAAAGACACCCAGCCCTCCATCAGACACACGTGGAGCCATTCATCCGTCCCACCACTCCCCTTTACCTCCCGGGGAACACCGCTAAGGGGACAGCTGGGTACCCACAGCAGGCAAACTGCCCTCCGAGGCATTCTGTGCACCCTAAGCAGATCTGGGGCACAGGATGACAAAACCACAGCAAGGTTTGTTTGAGAGCCGTTTCTGGTGCGCGTGGAGCCTCGAGGCTGTTTGGGACAGAGGCTGAAATTTGTGCTGCTCTCATTCACAACACCGGGTTGCGCACTCAGCTGTGCGGCTCCGCATCGATCCGTACCCGCCGTAGGGCGCTGCTACGGCGGAGAGCAGCCGGGGGTCCCTTCCAGCTGCTGCCCGCACCCCCCCGCGCAGCCCCACGCGGTGGCACAGCCCTCGGAACCGAAGGTTCTGTGACATCAGCGCCGCGGACAACGGGCAGCGCTGCGTCGTTGGCGGTGAAGCCTGACGCGATGGGCTGCCGTGAGACGTCGGGAGCGATGCTGCTGCTCCTGCTGCTCCTCGTGGCCGCCTGCCGGCCGGCGCACAGCTTCTCCGGCAGCTGCGAGTGAGTGGCCGGCGGTGCCCCGTGGGGAGGGACGGCGGTTCAGATGCAAAACCTGACGGGTTTCTCCTTGCAGCACCTGCGGGCTCCGGCCCCTGGCTTATCAGTACGGGGGAACGCGCGTCGTGGGCGGCACTGATGCCCCACAGGGGGCCTGGCCGTGGATCGTTAGCCTGCAGAGCACGTGGTATGTCGGCACCGGACACATATGCGGAGGATCCCTGATTACGCCGCAGTGGGTCCTCACAGCGGCGCACTGCTTCGACCACGCAACGTAAGGGCCGTCCCCTTCCCTGCCTTACAAACAGTGCGGGCAGTCCTGGGTGCCTTCCTGGTGGTGCGTGCCACAGCTTCCAGCAGCCCTTAGCTTAGTAAACCTCATGCCCAAGGCACAGCTGGGATGTCACAGCCCTTGTAGGACAGCTTTCCTCCCTCCTGCATAGTAGAGATAGCAGGGAACTGGAGAAATGGTTTGAAGTCGAGGGAGGGCAGCTGGAGGTTGGATGTCAGGGGGAAGTTGTGTGCTGTGAGAGCGGGGAGGGGCTGGAACAGCTGCCCAGAGAGGCTGTGATGCCCCGTCCATCCCTGGAGGTGTTGGAGGCCAGGTTGGATGGGGCCCTGGGCAGCCTGGGCTGCTGTGAAATGGGGAGGTTGGTGGCCCTGCATGTGGTGGGGGGTTGGAGCTTCGTGATCCTTGAGGTCCCTTCCAACCCTGGCCATTCTGTGATTGTGATGTTGCCACGGTTCTTCTGACCTTTCCTCTGCCCTTCTTCCAGCCCTGACACACCGTGGCACGTGGTGATCGGTGGCCACGATCTGAAACGCCTGGGCCCCGAAGCGGTCGTGCGCAACGTGGTGCGGGTAATCCCACATGAGTACTATCACAGGAACACCATGGCTAACGACATTGCGCTGCTCGAATTGGACCAACCCGTCCAGTGCAGCTACTACATCCAGCTGGCCTGTGTGCCTGACGCCTCGCTGCAAGTGTCAGAGCTCACAGACTGCTACGTCAGTGGCTGGGGACACATGGGGCTGAGATGTGAGTACACAAAATGCACGGGTGTCCCGAGTGAAAGCTTGGCACGCTGCTGAAACAGCATCCCTGATGGCAGGTAGAAACCCAGTGACACCGTAGGGATGTATCCATGGAGAGGTGTGGGTCTGACCCATTTCCCAAAGCAGGGAAACGTCGGTGCATCTCGAGACACAAAGTCAAGACGTAGGGAAGGGCTTCACCCACAAACGGGGTAACGGGCCAGGAGCTGGCAGTGCCAATTGTGCTCTGTGCTCACAGCTCTACAGGAATACGTCGAACCGTACCGTGTCCTGCAGGAGGCCAAGGTGCAGCTCATTGACCTCAACCTCTGCAACAGCAGCCACTGGTATGCTGGGGCTGTCCATAGCCACAATGTGTGTGCTGGTTACCCGCAGGGCGGCATCGACACCTGCCAGGTAGGAGCTGCACACCGACACACAGCTCTGCTCTCCTTGCAAGCCACCCTCCCATCACTGGGCACCCATCAGAGCTCACCTCCCCTTCCCATCTGCAGCTCCTCAGGCTCCCTATACCCCACATACCTGGGACTCTGCCCAGAGATCCCCCCAGGTGCCCTGTAGGTCTGGACCCAATCCTGGAAAACCCCTCTCCCCCACAGCCTGGATCACTGCACAGAGATGAGGGAGGGAGGGAGGGCTAACTTCCAGACCCACAGTCCCCTTCCAGAAGCCTTTTTAGGCTCTGGAACCCAAGCAAAGCTTTTCTGTGCAGGGAATGTAGCTCTAGGGAGCGCTGTGAGAGGGGAGCCAGCTCTGCTGCTGATGTGGCCACCCAGTCACACTTTGGGCTTCTCTCCTCCACCACAGGGCGACAGCGGTGGTCCTCTCATGTGCAAAGATAAAACTGCTGACTACTTCTGGCTCATTGGTGTGACCAGCTGGGGGAAAGGCTGTGGGAGAATACAGCAGCCTGGAGTCTATGCCTCCACTCAGTACTTTCGCAACTGGATCCTGGTACAGATGGGATTGCTTCCAGCAGAAACGCCTACTTCAACACCATACCCAGTCTATACCTCAACCTCCTACCAGAGGCCCAAACCAACGTACTCAAGCCCATTTAGACCGTGCCCATTTCCACGCCAGAAAGTCCTGGATTTCTTTAATCTGCTCCAGGAGCTCCTGCAGGGTTTAAGAGGAAAGAAAGCTTAATTGGCTGCATGGCCCACAGCAGGCTGCAAAGCGCCACGACCCTTTTCTTTGGGATGATGCCCAACGGCACCCCAAGTGCCAAAGCCCTGCTCTGTCCCATCCATCCTCCTCTGACTGCACACAAACGCTGAAGTTTACTTGGTTAGATAAATAAAGCTTATTTTCACAGCTACCCGTGTCTCTGCTCAGTTCAATCTCCTGTGCCAGGCAAAGGCTTCCACACCCAGCACTGCAAAGCAAAGCTGCGTGCAGACTGCAGGCCACAAAAAGGAGAGAGTGGCCCACGAGGGCTGAAATGGTGCCTGCTCAGGGAGGGGGACAAAATGGGACAGGTTGTAGGTGAGCAGAGGTCTCAGGGACAGCAGCTGCAACATCAAGTGTCCCTCAAGTGCCAGCTACTGGTGAGGTGTGGGTAAGGGGGGGGGGGAGTAATGCACCAGGCAACTTAATGCCAAGCCAGCTCAAATGGCAGGAGAACCAACCTGGGAAGAGCTAATGGCTGCCCCTGTGAGTGTGCAAGGAACCTCATGACACCCAGCCACCAGACATGACCTGGATGCAATTTCTACGCTGTTATTTGAAGGATCTGCAGACTTGCTCTGCAAATCTAGAGAGTAAAGCTGCATCTATTTGTCGCTGCTGACCACCAGTCCCAGTAACTGGAGAGGGATTCACGGTCACATGTTCATGCAAGGGCAGCACTCTGTCCATCTTGATGTGTTTTGCCATCCACACCAGAGTCCTGGTGTGTGTCTGTCTGCACCTGGGACACACAGCACGTCACCATGTGGGAACAGCAGCAGCCACATCCATCAGCCTGGGCTGGGAGACACCTTGTGGATACGAGACCACACCACGAAGCTCCAGAGGACCTACAAGGACCAGTTCCTTATGTCTAGAGGTCTACTGGATCTGTCTGGCCCACGGCAGAATGGAGAAGGGAAACTCAAAGGAACTCTACAAGGAGGTGCAAAGAAACTCACAGGGGTGCACAGAGGCTGGGCTGTGAAAGGAAGGGCTGGTGGTTGGACTCGCGTTGTGCAGCAACTCAACTGCTTCATAACAAAACTGCAAAAAGACTCCAACCTTTTTTCTTTTAATTAAAAAAAAGTCTTTAGTAACTATTTTCTGTGGAAGGTACCATTAAAGTCTCTGGGCAAAACCCTTCCCTGCAGGTACACGAGTGGCTCAGCTCTCCCAGCAAGCTTTGTCTCAAAGAAGCACATGGATACTCGCGCTGCTGCCTCGACTGCGAGGCACGGGGAGTCAGGGCCCAGCCAAGGGAGATGGTGCCCAGTCTCCCCATCACCAGATATCTCAGGGCACGAGAAAAATCGCTTTCCCCTGTGGAGGTGAACTCCTGTAGCCCCTAACAACTGGAGCAGAGAGAAAAGATGGAGTCCAAGTGCGGTCCTTAGGAGGATGGGGGCTTTTCTTCAGGGCAGCTCTCCTCTTGATCCGACACATTCTCACTCGTCTTCTCCAGGTCAAAGCTCTGCAAAGAAGTGGGACAAGAAAATGCTGACAAGCACGACAGCCACACTCTGCTATGGCTTTCAAAACCAGGCTAAAGCAGCATGAGTTCTTCAGAGGGTCACCACCTCACCCCTTCCCACCTAGATATGAGCAGCACCCAAACCCAGCGCTGTCAGCATAAGGCAAATCTTTCAGTTCCTGTGAGATTTTCACCCTTTGGTACAGGCTCTGCTTTCCCCAGGGGGAAGAGCTGCTAACCACCTCACGTTCTACTCCCTGCACTTCTCCTCCTTTCTTACCTCCAGTTCTTGCATGACCTCATCCATGAAATCTCCTGAATTCTGTTTGTAAGTAACCGCCAGCTTGATGGCATCATTGAAGAGCTGACAAGAAAGAGAACACTTTGTCACTCAAAGCAAAGAGTGATGGGACTCCATAATGTACAAAAACTGCTCCCATGGGGGAAAAAAACCCCAACTCTACAACTGCTTATAGTCAGAGGGACTGCCCCATTCCCTACTCCGTGCTCACAGCCCTCCACGGACAGGGCTGAGACAAACAGCTGTGTTTTACCTTCACTACATTGGTGCCATCTGCAGCAGACACAAAGTAAAAGGGCAAACTGAACTTCCGGGCAAAGCTGAAGCTTTTCTGGGTCATCTTCATATCCGCTGAGGGGAAAAAATGAAATGGAGAAATAGTCAGTAAGGCACTGATATAGAAAGAATGGGAAATGGGAAATGGTTTGAAGCTGAGGGAGGGCAGCTGGAGGTTGGATGTCAGGGGGAAGTTGTGTGCTGTGAGAGCAGGGAAGGGCTGGAACAGCTGCCCAGAGAGGCTGTGATGCCCCGTCCATCCCTGGAGGTGTTGGAGGCCAGGTTGGATGGGGCCCTGGGCAGCCTGGGCTGTTGTGAAATGTGCAGGTTGGTGGCCCTGCGTGTGGCTGCAGGGTTGGAGCTTCGTGATCCTTGAGGTCCCTTCCAACCCTGGCCATTCTGTGATTCTTTCTGTGAAAGAATGCCAACAAATGCAGGGATGGTGGAACAGATGCAGACTGGAACCTAAAGCAGCTATCAAGGCCTCCCCTTTGCAGTACAAAGCCATGTGGACCCTCCACAAAAGCCAGGGGGCTTTAAAAGCAACAGCATCAGCAGGCAGCTGACAAGAAGACAAAGAAAGGAACGGGCTCTTGCTGCTTCATTCATGGTGCCTGATGCAGCCTGGAGGAAAGGCTCTCATTAGTGAGATGAATCATGCCCTAAGCTCCACCACTGAGCCAAATGAACCTGCACAGACCTGGCTATTTATCTGGTAACATACAGCCCTGAGGGACTAATCCTCAAGGATGTATTGGACCCAAGAGAAGCATGACATTCCTTCCCAACCAGAAAAGAATACCTTCACAATCCTGAGGAGCTACAAGAAGACACACTCACCATCAATTTTATTGGCCACCACAATGCAAGGGATCTCCGGGCGAAATTCTCTCAGCTCCTTGTACCAGTTGTTGAGGTTCCTGTAGGTGACTTTCCGCTGCACATCAAACACCTTCCAAAAAAGAACCAGCAACAGGTGCAACAGGGCAGCTCCTGAGAACCCACAGCACCAAACACTTGTGCAGAACCCAGAATTCTGCCAGGAGAATGTCATGGGAAGCTGCTGCTTGTTAGAAAGCGTGACAGAGAAAAGGGAGAATATCCAGCAAGCCCTGAAAAATGCAGCCAGGTTTTCTCTTTGTGTGATGCAGGCAACAATCCCTCGTTTGCCTTTACATTCTTAGCACCCAAAGCACTGGGACAGATCTGTTCTGCTGTCAGTGGGGTCAGATGTGAGGATTCTCCATTGTAACAATTAATTTAAAGCATCAGTAGAGTTGGCTGATAAAGATACAAGCAATAAAGATGCAGTGAAAAGTTAGAGCAACAACACAGACCAAGAGACTAAAGTAGATTAGGAGTCAGGAAACAACACTCATTTGAGTTACAAAAATGGGAAGCTCAAAGCCCGTGGAAATAAGGAGGGCAGCTGGAGGTTGGATGTCAGGGGAAGTTGTGTGCTGTGAGAGTGGGGAGGGGATGGAACAGCTGCCCAGAGAGGCTGTGATGCCCCGTCCATCCCTGGAGGTGTTGGAGGCCAGGTTGGATGGGGCCCTGGGCAGCCTGGGCTGCTGTGAAATAGGAAGGTTGGTGGCCCTGCGTGTGATGGGGGGTTGGAGCTTCGTGAGCCTTGAGGTCCTTTCCAACCCAAAGCCAAATTCATCCTGTCAATGCAGTACTTTGCAGAACACATTAAGACAGTTTTGTACTCTACAATTCAACAGACACATCAGACACAGAAGGAGAAAAGAGTGCCCTCTCCCCCACATCCCTTCTGACAGCACTGCTTCCAAGGAGGCGCATTTGGTTGTAAACCAATTGTAAACCAAAAAAACCTCATTACTGGAAGGGCAGTGATGAAAGAAAGGAAATTGAGAAGGAAGCAAACTCAGGGAATGCAGTCAGAGCACTGCAGAATTATGCAGAGCACACCAACCACACTGGCTTTGTCAGGTAAAAAAGAAGGAACAATGTGGGAAAATCTGTAAAACAACTGGAAGGGATAAAAAAAAAAAATAGTAGAGTGTAACTGCAAAAAGTAACATCCAGGCCAAACATCAGCTGGGATTTATCAGCCAAAATCCCACCAGGTCACAGAATCCTAGAATGGCCTAGGTTGCAAAGGCCCACAGTGCTCATCTGGTTCCAAGCCCCTGCTGTGTGCAGGTCACCAACCAGCAGCCCAGGCTGCCCAGAGCCACATCCAGCCTGGCCTCCAATGCCTGCAGGGATGGGGCATCCACAGCCTCCTTGGGCAGCTTAGGACATCACCCTTACCATGATACAAGCGTGAGCTTTGTGGTAATAGGAGGCATGCATGCTCTGGAACCTCTCTTGTCCAGCTGTGTCCCAGAAATCTGTAAGATAAAAGGATAAATTTTAAAAAAAGAAACAAAAAAAAAACCTGACAAATTCAGGATGACACAACATCTCAACTTCTGTTTTCCTCACAACTTTAACCCAGGATGGAAACCCCAGCTCATCTACTGAGAGCCACAAATTAGTTTCATCTCACTGATCTGAAACATCCTGGGGACAAAAGTTACCACAAAACCAGGACCAGGCTGGGCAGAACAGCACCCCATGGGAGCTGCCCCACACTGCAGCAGGGAACAGAGCGAGGCTGAAGGAGCTGCAGACACAAATCACCATGGGATGTCCACAACCCTCACTCCCCTGCGCTGTCGGTTACAGGAGGAAGAAGCAGATGATGGGGATTTGGCGTTTGTTCTCTTCAGGTTCTCTTCATAGAACTGGTTTGGATTTGAAGGGACCTTTCAGACCATCTCATTCCAACCCCCTGCTGTAGGCAGGGACATCTCCCACCAGCCCAGGTTGCTCACAGCCCCACCCAGCCTGGCCTTCAATGCTTCCATGGAGGGGGCATCCACAGCCTCATGGGGCAACCTGCTCCTTTGTCTCAAGGCCCTCACGGTAAACAATTTCTTCCTCATTTCTTCTCCCAGGAAGTAGTGCTTTGCCCACGACAAAAATCAGCAGTGATCTGCCCATCCTTACCTCGACCCATAGACTTTTCTCACCTCGTTTTCTCCCCCTGTTCTTTTCAGGGCGGAGAACAAGCGGCACGCCACAGCCCGGCTATGAAACGGCTCTGCGATGCTGCTCTTCGTTCCTCCATTTCGCTGCCCACACAGCGCCGGGCGGCACCCCCTGCCCACCGCCGGGAAGCCCCGCGCGACGCTTTGTGTCCCGGCGGCACCGCGGCCGTCCCGCCTTCCGACAGAGCTTCGGACAGGGCTCCGCACTTACCCACGAGCACCGCCTTCCCGTCCACTCGCGCTTGGTGTCGGTACAGCGTCAAGGCGAAAGTGGAGAGCTGCTGAGGGCGGCTGCGCCCGCGTTAAGGAGCCGTCGGATGAACAGTCCCCGCCGCCGCCGCCGCCCGCCTCCCGCCCGCCTCCCGCCCGCCCCACCGACACCTGAGGGGCGCAGCCGGAACCGCGGATACAACCCGTCCAGCAGGAACCTCTCGAGCAGCCTGCGGGGAGACAGCGCGGCCGTCAGAAGCCCCGCCAGGCCCGACCCGGCGCCCGGGGAACGCGCGCGGCCACGCACTTGGACTTGCCCACGGCGCTGTCGCCCAGGCAAATGATCTTCACTGCCTCCTCGGCGCCGGCCTCAACCGGGGCCTCATCCCGGGGCTGCTCCGCCGCCTCCGCCATCGCTCCGCCGCTGCGTCCCCGCTGCTACGCGACACACACGGCGCCGTCGCGCCCTGACGACGTCATCACCCGCGCGCCGTCGCGCTGAGTGACGTTATCACCCGCACGACGCCGCGTGAGAGGAGGGCGTCATGGCGGCCGCGGCGTGCTCTAAGCGGCCCCTGCAGCTGACGCTGGCGCTGTTGAAGCCGGACGCCGTTGCCCACCCGCTGGTGCTGGAGGTGAGGGCAGATCGGGCCGCCCCGCACCGCTCGGCCCCCTTGGGACGCCCTGGCGGTGCGCGCCTCCCGCCCAGCCGCTGCACCTCTGCCCACAGGCCGTGCATGAGACCATCCTCAGCAACCGCCTCCTCATCGTGCGCGCCAAGGAGCTGCGCTGCGGGCGGGAGCAGAGCCGCCGCTTTTACCGGGAGCACGCGGGTAAGCGGCGTGGGGCTGCGGGGCGGGAAGGAAAAGGCCCTGGGGGTGCTGGTGGGGAGCAGCAGCACGAGGCAGCGCTGTGCCCTCAAAGCACAGAGAGCCAACTGCACCCTGGGGCATCCAGAGCAGCGCAGCCAGCAGGAGGGGATCTGCACCTCTGCTCTGTGCTGGGACACCTCGCCTGGAGCACTGCGTCCAGATGGGGAGCGCTCAGCACAGGAGGGACATGGAGCCATTGGAGTGTGTGCAGAGGAGGGCCACCAAGAGGGTCTTAGGGATGGAACAGCTCTCCTGAGAGGATAGGGTGAGAGCTGGGGCTGTGCAGGTGGAGAAAGGAAGGCTGCAGGGAGAGCTGACAGCAGCCTTCTGTATCTAAAGGGGCTGTGGAAAGGAGGGAATGGACTCTTTAGTGGGGTCTGTGTGACAGGACAAGGGGAGGTGGTTGCTAACTGACAGAGGGAGACTGAGGCTGGATGTAAGGAGCAGGTCTTCATGCTGAGGGCGGTGAGGCACTGCACAGGTTGCACAGAGAGGTGGTGCTGCCCATCTCTGCAGGCACCCACGCTCAGGGGAGGGGGCTGTGAGCACTGATGGAGCTGTGGGGGTCCCTGCTTATTGCAGGGAATGGAACCAGATGGCCTTGAAGAGCCCTTCTAACCCAAACCACTGGGTTAGAATGACTGTGTGCAAGTCTCTTTCGACCCCCACCGTTCTCTGATTCCCTGAAGGCTGCTTCTCCCGGGGGTGGGCAGGGAGCACACTGGGTGGGTGCTGTGACTCAGGGTTGTTTCTCTCCCACAGGGCGATTCTTCTACCAGCGGCTGGTGGAGTTCATGGCCAGGTACCTGCTGTGCCACTTGGCGGGCAGTGCAGGGCACAAGGAGGGGATGGGGTGAACCCTGAGCAGCACGGCCACATCTGGGGGGCTCCACCTCAGCGGGGGATGCATCTTGTCGGGAGCCTGTGCTTGAGATGTGCTGAGGGTGAAGGCCTTGGGCTGAAGGGTGGACATTTGTCATGGAACAGCTCTGGTGTGACGAGAGAGGACTGAGTGGGATGGCATCCCAGTGTATTGTGGGTGCCATCACCTAGATGGAGGTCATGCAGATGCTTTGTTTTCAAGCTATCGCTGTCTACTGTGAGCTTGTCATAAGAATTAGAATGAAGAAGCTGTACCCTGTTATAACCTTACTCTTTCCTGGTCCCTTTTTCAGTGGCCCCATGTGGGCTTATATCTTGGCCCATGAGAATGCCGTCTCCCTCTGGAGATCCCTGATGGGACCCACCAAAGTGTTCCGAGCTCGAAACTGTGTCCCAAACTCCATCCGAGGAGCATATGGCCTCACTGACACCAGGAATACCACCCATGGTTCAGGTAGGCCTTCTTGGCTGGGTGCTGGGCAGGGACTGGAGCTCGGTGGGGGCTGAACAATGCTATTTTTGTCTGCCTTTGCTTTCTGCTCACAATTTGCTCGCTTCTGCAGACTCCACATGCAGCCAGGCCTGGCGCTTTACATCCGCAACTTCCGCCTTTAAAACAGTGCATGTTTCAGGTGCAAGGCTAGCATCTCACCTCTTCCCTCTCTACTTACAGATTCCCCAGCGTCAGCCAGCAGGGAAATTGCCTTCTTCTTCCCAGAGTTCAATGAACAGCTGTGGTACCAGCAGGAGGAGCCACGTCTGCGCTGTGGGCAGATGTATTACAATGCAGAGAAGCGTGTCCACTGTGTGATCAGGGGAGAAGAAACAGAGATGACATGAGTTACACGGGGGTACGGTCTGCTGAGCTGGCTTTAGCTGCTAGCCACACTGTTTGGGTCAGTCCCATAACAAGACACAGGGTCATGATGTGTCTTAAGGACTGTGGGGAAAGGGAAGGCAGATGAGCATCGTGCTGTGCTGCTCAGGACTGTGATTTGTGCAGCATGCAGGTGCTGGGACACTCCTGAACAACTTCTCCACTAGCAGTACTGAAAGTCAACACAGAGATAAAGCCATGCACTTCCCCAGCCCTCGTGTGCTTATCTGTGTGTGAGCAGTGCAAGTGAACTCCTCTGAGGACTTGGCAGCTGGGGGACGACGAACATTGCTGATAGTAGGCCTGTATTCTTACTGTCTGCTCTGTTCTCTCCTTCCCTTACGAAGGGTTTAATGGGATGAATATGGAAAAAAATGCAGTGGTGAGCAGAGCAATGGTAACTCTTCTGTTATTGCTTTCCTGGATCCAAGCTGGGAGGAAAGGTGGCCTTCAAACTCATATAAAAATTCTTATTGTAGGCACCTACTGGAGGCACAGTTGGAAGTTGTTCTCAGTAGGAAAGCAGTTTCTTTTAGTCTGGGCTGACAACCCTATGGCTGATCTTCTAGCAGTGATTGCAGAAAGTGTGGAGGATCATAAATTGTTTGCTTTTAGCTTTTCTGGAACGTGGGGTTGGTGGCTCTGATGGAACCCGAGAGTGGCTGTTAGAACTGCGAATATTGGGAGTGTGCAATAAAGGCCAAAAGTCTGTGATTCAGTGCAGGTACGCAGACACCACCGGAGTTCTGTCTGGAGCTCTTTACATTCAGCCTCATAACAGAACACGCAGTGGTGACTCAGAGACCAAATTGCTTCTGGGTTTGCTGTGAGCTGAGGCACAGAGTTCCACATCCTTTGCACAGTTGTGTTCCAAGTGTTTCAACCATCAGATCGTTGGTGTGCTGGGGCACGAGGACTTGGGTTTGAGTTACTGTGAAAGTTCTGTGCTCACTTTATGTTCTCCCATCTGATGCATTTTGAGATCTGCCCATGCGTGAGTCCTTAATCCATTTCAACTGTCCCCTCGTAGTTTATTCCAATACTGATGACTTTTAAGAATCGAGGTACTGAGTGAACTTTCTTTCACGTAATTCCAAATGCACTGAATCAGAGAAGGGACCCTGGGAGTCTACTTAGGGTGAGTTTGTTTGCCTGACTCCCCATTCTGATGTAAAGCACAAGCGTCAGTGATGCTGAAGCTCTGCTGATTGAGTCCCAGATTAATTAGCTCTCTGGTCTGTCACGGATCCCAAACAAGTTGCTCTTTGATTAGTTTAAGACCGCTGTGTTTGAGAAAATGTAAGTTGTCAAAGTGCTGCCACCCAGCTTCCCCGATTCAGTACATTTGTGTTGTTCTTTCCTTGCTGATATAGGAGATCAAACACAGCCATCATTTTGTTTTGGGCACAGATCAAAAGAATCTGCTGAATATGTCTGCATTTCTGCCTTGCTGCTTTTATTTTCACCAACAGTTCCCAAAGGTGGGTCTGTTGATGACATGAATTTACCCACCCCTGAATTCTTGCTGTCAGTGATGATTGATTTGTTGTTGGTTCCCCAGATGCTGGATGTTGTGTGCTTATTTCTGGTAACTACTGATCTTTACTATTTCTCTCCAGCTCCCTTCTTTACATCATTTGCTTTTATGACATTAATTGGGGATGTCATTATGTGGTAACTCTTTGTTCATCTGAAATGTTTATTTTGCACAATCCCTGAAACAAAACCTCGAATTTCAAGTACTGATCCTCCATCTCAGTGTCACGTTTTCAGGTACTGTTACAGATCCTGGTTGGCATTGCTTGGGTAATTGTCACGTTAGTGCTGACAGGGATAAGGAATTGGTTGAAAGGCTGCAGACAGAGGCTGTGATGAGTGGTTCTGTGTCCAGGTGAGGCCAGTAAGGAGTGCTGTCCCCCAGGGATCTGCCTTGGGACCAGCAATCTTTAACATCTTCATCAGTGACATCAGCGAAGGAATTGAGTGCATCCTCAGCAGACACAGTGGATGGAGGGGCTGCCGTTCAGAGAGACCTCAGCAGGCTTGAAAGGTGGGCCTGGGTGAACCTAATGGGGGTCAACACAGCAGTGTGTGAGGTTTGGGATTTGGGCCGGAGGAATCCCAGGCATCCACACAGACTGGAAGGAGCAGACCTTGAGAGCAGCCCTGCAAGAAGGACCTGGGGGTCCTGATGGGTGAAAAACTGAACATGAGCCAGCAATGTGACCTTGTAGCTCTGAAAGTAAATGGGATCCTGGGCTCCATCAGCAGAGGGGTGGCAGCAGGGACAGGGAGGTGATTGCCCCCCTCTGCTCTGCTCTTGTGAGGCCCCATCTGCAGCACTGCGTCCAGGGCTGGGGGCCCCAATACAAGAAGGACAGGGAGCTGTTGGAGAGGGTGCAGAGCAGCCACAAAGATGAGCAGGGGGCTGCAGCACCGCCCTGCAAAGCCAGGCTGAGGGAGCTGGGCTCTGCAGCACGGAGAAGAGAAGCTGGGGGTGAGCTGAGTGCAGCTGCAGGAGCTGAAGGGAGCCTGCAGACAGGAGGGGAGTCAACTCCTGGAAAGGGGAGATGGCAGCAGGACGAGGGGAAACGGCTGGAAGCTGAGGGAGGGCAGCTGGAGGTTGGATGTCAGGGGGAAGTTGTGTGCTGTGAGAGCGGGGAGGGGCTGGAACAGCTGCCCAGAGAGGCTGTGATGCCCCGTCCATCCCTGGAGGTGTTGGAGGCCAGGTTGGATGGGGCCCTGGGCAGCCTGGGCTGCTGTGCAATGCGGAGGTTGGTGGCCCTGCGTGTGGCTGCAGGATTGGAGCTTCGTGATCCTTGAGGTCCCTTCCAACCCAAACCATTCTGTGACGATTCTATGATTGTATGTCTTTGGTTCACCTCAGTCCCATTTCCCCAATCAAGGTGTTTGTTTTGCAAAACAGAAGATGCTCTAAAATTCATCAGGAGATCTAATCCTGAAATAATTGGTGTTGGGTGCTAGAGGCAATGTCAGGCGTGGATTTTTAGCATAAGGAAGCCCTTGCATTTGGGATGACAGCAGATGTTCTCTATTTCGGGTACTCTGCTAAAAGTCTTTTTTCCTCCTTGCTTGGAAGAGAGCAAAATAAGCTTTTTTTGCTGCTTCTGCAGTGACATCCAGCATCTGTTCTGTGCACCATCTGATGCTGTTTGGTCATCTGACGATGAGTCACCGTTGGTTTTGTAACTTCAAATGGTTTAAATTCAAAACAGCTTCTCGTTCCATTTCTCACCTTTCTCTCCCTCATTCCCTCCCTCATTGATCTGTTCTTACAGAACAAATGGAGAACAGATTCCGTTCCCTCCTTCAGGATTTTTGCTTGCTTTGTTTGAACTGCAGATGCTGTGGCTTAACAAACAAAGGCAAAACCCAGATGCTGGTTTAGCATAACGTTACAGATTCTGTTGCTGCAACAACTGCACAGTGGGGCATTGGGATTAAGGAATGGGACGAAGCATTAGGCTGAGCCTGGGAAGGGGTTTCATTGCTGTTCTTCAAAGCAGGTCAAGGAATTGGTGATGTCTGTTGGATTTTGGTTTGCACAGTTTGCTGTCACTCAGGCGTTCCATACTGACCATGCACTGTTCAGTTGTTCAGCTTTTTCCCCTTCTAACACTCGAAACCTTTGTGTGCACCTTTTCTTGGCTCAGAGTGTGGACACCCTGAAGACAGAAAGGCTGTTCTCCGCTTTCCATTCCCCTTGCTCTGTGTGATGATGCAATGGATTGGTGCAAATGCAAACAGTTTCACAGTTAAGTTCTGAGCGATGCACCAAACTTCTAACAGCTCCCTCCGGGCCTCGTTTACCCTCATTTACTCATTTACCCTGTGTCACACAGACACACAGGGCAGAAAATTGGGGCGCTCTGGGCTTTCTGCCTGGCGCTGCCACCCCTGTGGAGGGAGCCCAGTGGGCAAGAAAACTTTTCTCTCCAATTTGAACCTTCTATTTAAAGCATCTCATTTAAAAGTGCAATAATTAGCTCCTGTGTCGGGCTTGGTGCCCTGGGCAAAAACCCCACAGGGTCTGTGCAGCGTGAGGATGAGGTTGGGTCGCAGCTGTCCCATAAGAATCAGTGGGCAGGAGCTGCTCGCTGGTGGTGGGAGAGCCCTCCCTCTAAGCAGAAGCTGCCCAGGAAGGAACGCTGCCCCTGGGCTGGTGCTGGGGTTCTGTGCAGGGGTTACATGGGCCCCAAACCCTGCACTGAGGGGCCACATTGTGTGGCCTGATGCATTGTGCCTGCTCTTAACCCAAGATAACACGCATAAATCAAGTCAGCTTTGGCCCATTTTAGAGCTGGATCAACCATTGCCGCCCTTTTTTCCTGCAATACGAGTACCAGCAGTGAATCAAACAGAATGAAGGTGCAACAAATGAAGTCCCTTCGCTGCTACAGAGCAGCATGAGGCACTGCTGTTTTCTTTTCAGCCAAAAATCAGTCATTTTAGAGAAAAGCATTCCATTAGTGCTTTCACAGGATGAGGCATTTGTCCTGCCTTGGGCAGTGCAAGCTGGAAATGCCAGCTCTTTCCTATCCTTGCTTCTGGGCTGGCCTAGATAACAAGGAGCTCCAGGCAACTCCTCTGCAAAATCACATCTTGAAGGAAACTCCTCGGAGGAAAGCAATGAGAAAAACATGAAATGCTGTTCTGACAAAACCCAATGGAATTTAACTGTAGAGATCAGACTCGTACTGGTGGAAAGGAGATGCTGGTCCAGGCCCTGCCCAGGACACGGTTGAGGCTGCAGGAAGAGTCACAGAATTGTAGGGGTTGGAAGGGACCTCCAGAGATCATGGAGTCCAACCCCCCTGCCAAAGCAGGTTCCCTACACCAGGTTGTCCATGGCCTGTGGGTGTGGAGCCAGCGCTGGAGGGATTTTCCATGGCATGCAGTGGGGGTGGCTCTTTTCATGGCTCGTGTCTGTTACCTCTCCTCATCACCATAACCATAACTCTATCCTAACCTTAACTTCTGGCAGAGCACCTTTAGCATCATCACAACTGCATGAGGGACAGCCAAAGCCAACCAAAGCAAAACCAACAAAAGCCCACTGCAGCCAATGGGGCCAACGATGTCTTCAACACGTTGCTGAGCTCTGTATTCAGACGTGGCCACACAAAGGTCTGAGCAGCTGGGCTCTCCTCGCCAGTAGAAGTGTGTTCAAAAACATGGGAAGAAAAGTGCGTTCAGCTCGTGTATGTCAAAGCAACAGCAGCATCATGAAAGCGATGGTGTAACGCTGTCTGGATCATCAGCTTCAGAGAATAATGTCTGAGCAGTCATCAGAGACGGATGAGACATCGCAGGTATCTGGTCCAGGGCCCTGCCCTGATTGGCCTCTTCATTAGTGACACAGAGGAGATGGTAACCATGCCAGATTTGTAGGTGACATCAAATCAAGAAGAACAGTGTATGTGCTCAAGGGTTTTTGTTCCAGAGGGACCTGGACAGGCTGGAGGAGAGGACCAATGGGAACCCTGTGAAATTCAATGAAAACAATGCCAGGTCCTGTGTCTGGAGGGGGGAGCAGTGACAGCAAACTGGGCATGGGGCAGCAGCGTGCCCTGGTGGCCCTGGGCATCCTGGGGTTGTGTGAATCAAGGGCAGCAGAATGAGGTAAGCATTCTGCACCCCTGAGACCACATCCAGATACTGGATGCAGTGCTGGGCTCCCCAGAACGCGAGGCACGTTGTCAAGCTGGAGGTGAGCTCCCATGGGCAGGGGCTGAGGGAGCTGGGCTTGTTCAGCTTGATGGAGTGGTGGCTTGGGGGAACCACGCAGCAGTCCTGCTGTACCCATGGGGAGGCTATCTTAAAACCAAGGCCAGACCCTTCACAACAGAGCACAGAGGGGTAGGAGAGGCAGCAGGCAAAATGCAGCCAAGAGGCTTCAAGTTCAAGATTTTTCCTTCTAAATGGATGTGAGAGAACCAGAGTCACCTGTGGTGATCTTAGTGGGTTTTTCCAACCTGAATGATTCTATGACTTGCTCTGAATATCACGAGATGAGGGCTCAGGAAATCTGTGGCTGTGCCAGTGCTGACTGCTCTTTGGAGAAGAAATTGTTCCCAAGATCCAATCTAATTTCCACCTGTTGAAACAAACAGGGAAACGTGACTTGGAGAAGACCACGGTTTTACAACAGTACCTTTGGGTTTGGAAAGCTCAGTGCTTGCAAGTGGAGACATTAAGAGCTCTGCATCCACTAAAGAGTCCAGAAGTGCTGAGTCCTCAGAGCCACAGAGCTCTGTTCCATGCCTCAACCCAGCCCAACCAGTGCTTTAACCCAGCCCAACCTGTGCCATAGGGTTGTGCTGCAGGTGTGTGCAGGGCCAGCACTGCCCATTGCTGCCCCTCTGCTGCACCATCTGCTGTGACCCCTCATGGTGTGGTGAAGGAGGACGAAAGGGCTGCAGGTTCTTCACTTTTTGGTGAAGGCTGAGCGTAGTACCTGTGCTTATCAGTTAATGAGCTCAATCAGCTCCCAACCCTCCCAGCTGGCCCTTCCCCATGGCATGGGGGTACTCAGTGCGTGGTGACCTGAGCTGCAGCCCAGGTGCACAAGAGTTGCTCAGGGCTGGGATGGAAGGACAGGGCTAGAGAGCTCAGACTGGGCTGGACCAGAGAAGGGAATCATAGGGGGTACTGTGCCAGGAGGGTTCTGTTTGGCAGGCTCAGGTCCCACTTGTGTGGACTGACTGGGGGGAAAGCATCTGTGCTCTGTGCTTTTGCCGTGCAGCAGTGCTGCCTCTGCCAGCCTCTCCCTCAGGACCTCCCAGGGTTAAAAGCTGCTCCTCTGCTCACAGGTGCAGGTGACTCCTCCTGGTGCAGGTAAGACACACTGGGCAGCACGTGGGGGCAGGGGCAGCTTTTTTCTCTCACCCAGCACTGCAGGTTTGTTGCTGGACACGGGGGTAAGGAGGGCAGAGACCTGCTTGCAGTAGGAGGCTCACAGGGCATGATGGAGCCCTCTCAGGGTCCCCCCCAGCACGCTGCATAGGGACCATGCCTGTGCTGGCACCCAGGGCTCAGGGTGGTTGAGGCATTTGGACAGGCTGTGGGGGCTGGTGCTGCCTCCAGCAAAACCACCCAGTCCTCATCGGGAGAAATTCCTCCTGTGGTGCTGCCAGCTCCAACCATCAGACAGGGACAGAGCACACCAAGGGCTCAGGATCCCACTCCCACGTTCCAGGCTCTGCTGTGCTCACCTGGGGTGCAAATGGGCTGGCAGAAATTCAAGGGGAGAGCTGCATCTTCCTGCAGGAGCGTCTGGTGTCTGGGGGTGGGAGCACAGCGTGCCTGGCCTCCTGCAGAACAGAGGGTGGTACAACGCACCCCAAAACACTGGGGCGACGGGAGGGGCACCGAGGTGAAGTGAGGCAGCTTCCTTGGTGGGGGAAGGGGAGATTTTCTGACCACGTTTCCCCTCCCCTGTACAAAAGGTGTTTGGGGGTGAAGGGTTTAAATGTCACTGACTGCTACATCGCTCCAGAGCGCAGTGGAGAAATTAGGGTCTGTCTTCCTGTGATTGCACAGCATCCCTGTGCCTCCACACCCAATGCACAGGGAGAGCCTCACAGGCAGCTCTCCATCCTTCCCGGTCCCTCCTGCAGAGGAACTCATGGTTCCCTTCTGCTGCTGCTGAAATACCACGGGAAAATGGAATCACAGAACCACAGGGGTTGGGAGGGACCTCAGGAGATCACTGAGCCCAACCTTTTCTAAAGCAGTTCCCTGTAATGGTCTCAGAGGTGGATGTCCTCACAGGAGACTCCACCACCTCTCTGTGCAGCCTGTGCCACTGCTCCGTCACCCCGATGGAAAGCAGTTCTTCTGCATCTTAGCACAGAACTTCCTATGTTCCAGTTTGTTGCTCCTTGTCTTCTGGCTGCACAGCACCGAGAGGAGCCTGGCCTCATCCGTGTGCCTCCACCTCCCTTTAGAGGTTTGTGAACATTGATCAGATCCCCTCTCAGCCCTCTTTTCCTCAGGCTGAGCAGCCCCAGGTCTCTTAGCCTTTCGTGTGGACAGGGTCAGCACAGCTCCACAGAGCAGTCAGCAAAACCTTTGGGTCAGGGTGACGGAAATCAGATGTATGAAAGAAAGTCAGGAGTCCCAGGCCAGTGGAGAACCTGACAGCTCCATTTGGTTGTGGCTCTACAAACACAGCATGGTGAGCCTCCTTCAGCTGGAACCTGGGGTATTCTGGTACTGGTTATTGCTAAGCAAAGCACTCCAAAAAGGCAGAGGAAGAGACAGGATGGAAAAAAGAGTAATAATAATCCCTTTTAGCTGGTGCAAAGTGATGGCACATCCCTGGCAGCTGGCAGAGAGCAGGCCTTGTGGCCATAGCATCTGGAGAAGGATGTGGCGTTGTGCAGGAAGCAGGGAAGGGAGCAGGAGTGCAAATGGGAAGAAAAGAGATGTGCCGGGTGTTTGAGACAGCAGGTTTGATGGGCAGGAGGACCCAGGATGTGTGAGTTAGTCTGGATGCAAACTGGCCACGGTTTTCTTGGTGTGACTCCTGCAATCAGATCGCCAGCACCAAACAGCATCTTCCTGGACGGTGAAATCCCACTGTCTGCAAAGTATCGGCATGGGAAGCCTTTGGTCACTGCAGAGATAGGACCACAGCCATCCGAGCAGTTAAACCCATACTCTGTAGTCGTTTTTTTACCCTCTCCACTTCTTCCTGCTGCTTTTTTCTGCCTGCAGACCAACACAGCTGCCCCATGGCCAGGGGGAACCAGACTCAGGTGACAGAGATCCTTCTGCTGGGCTTTTCCCATGGCCGGCCCTTCCTCTTCCTCCTTTTCCTGGCCACATACCTGGTCACGCTGCTGGGGAACTCTGCAATACTCGCCCTCGTGCTCCTGGACCCCCATCTCCACAACCCCATGTATTTCTTCCTCAGCCACCTCTCCTGGTTGGACATCTGCTACTCCACAGCGACGGTGCCCAAGGTCCTGGCCAACAGCCTTCGCCCGCGGGCCGCCATCTCCTACCGCGGCTGCCTGGCTCAGACCTTCTTCCTGATGAGCTGCACGGGTGCCGAGTGCGCATTGCTGGCCGTCATGGCTTACGACCGCTACGCAGCCATCGTGCACCCCCTGCACTACGCGCACACCATGCCGAGGGCTGCGTGCCGGGCCATGGCTGCGGGCTGCTGGCTGTGGGGAGCGCTGGACTCGGCGGTGCACACGCTGCTGGCCTCCCGGCTGTCCTTCTGCAGAGCCGTTCACCTGCAGCACCTCTTCTGCGACGTCCCCCCGCTGCTCAGGGCCGCCTGCAGCAACACACGGCCCAGCGAGGCGGCTCTGCACGCCGCCAGCGTCTTCGTGGGCTTCGGCCCCTTCCTTCTGGTGCTCGGCTCCTACCTGCGCATCCTGGTGGCTGTGCTGGCCGTGCCCACAGCCGCTGGCCGACACAAGGCTTTCTCCACCTGCTCTGCCCACCTGCTGGTGGTCACGCTCTACTTTGTGACGGCCATCCTCAACTACAACTGGCTCGGCACCGACGGCTCGCCGCTGGCCGGCGCCGTGGTGTCGGCGTTGTTCTGCATCGTCACCCCTGCGCTGAACCCCCTCATCTACAGCCTCCGCAACCAGGAGGTGCGGGCTGCCCTCAGGAGGGTCCTGCGCTGGCGGTGCGGCTCCCAGGGCTGTGGGACTGATGTGGGGCTGCGTCCACAGGGAGGGGGAATCACGGGGCCATAGAATGGCTGAGGTTGGAGGAGACCTTAAAGACTCTCCGCTTCCACCCCTGCTGTGGGCTGGGTGCCCCCCACCAGCTCAGGCTGCCCAGTGGCCCCATGCACAGCCTCGGGCACCTCCAGGGTGTAAAAGGGAGGAATTCCAGCAGACTGAGTTTTCTGGTTTATTCAGTCAAAGTTGGGTCACCACCGCAGTGAATGTCAACCTCCCTGTGCTTTATGATCACTTACACAGCATTACTCTGCTGATTGTGTAGAGGCTGTGATGCCCCATCCCTGCAGGCATTCAAGGCCAGGCTGGATGTGACTCTGGGCAGCCTGGGCTGCTGGTTGGCGAGCTGCACACAGCAGGGGGTTGGAACTGGATGAGCACTGTGGTCCTTTTCAACCCAGGCCATTCTATGGTTCTGTGATTCCATGACTTTACAAAAGTTTCCATAGAGTCCTTCAAGTCCTCTACCAAGTCCCAGACAAATGACTTCATCAGCACAATCTGCTTTCTTAGTCTCACTTCTCAGTTCAGTTTTGGAAGTTTATCTCCAGGTCATCGTGTCTCGCACTCCGCTTCTTATGGTTCCATTCTCCAAAAAACACGGGTTGTTCCATTAAAGGACTTCACAACAGACTTCATAATAAGCATTTTCTAAACTAAAAATCTCCGTGTCTACTTATACAAGCACACCTGTAAAAGCTAATCCTTCATCCTTTCTCTGTCCTCCTACCAGTTATCTGTGCTCGTGGCACACTGTCATCACATCACACGTCTGACCCTTTGCACATCACCAGTGAGAGAATGGCAGAATCAAGCTGGGATCCAGGCCACAGGTCCTGGGTTGTGTCCAGGTAGACGTGTTAGCTGAAATCTATAGGATATGAAGTCACTATTCATACTGCCACAGAATGGTTTGTGTTGGAAGGCACCAGAGGAGGGCCACGAAGATGATCAGAGGGCTGGAGCACCTCTCCTATGGGGACAGGCCCAGAGGACTGGGGATATTCAGCTTGAGAAGAGAAGGCACTGGGGGGATCTTATAGCGCTCTGCCAGGACCTGAAGGATCCTACAGGAAAGCTGGGGAGGGACAGGATAAGGGGAAATGGCTTTAAACTGGAAGAGGGGAGATTTAGTGTAGATCTTAGGAAGAAATTCTTAACTGTGAGGGCAAGTGAGACACTGGCACAGGTTGCCCAGAGAGGCTGTGGATGCCCCAGGGCCATTCAAGGCCAGGCTGGATGGGCTGTGAGCAACCTGGGCTGGTGGGAGGCGTCCCTGCCTACAGCAGCAGGTTGGAATGAGGCGGTCTGACAGATCCCTTCCAACCCAAACCTATCTGATTCTGCAATTGCACGCTGAGCTCAGCACAGGACCCTCTGCAGTAGCACTGTTACCAGAGGATGCTGTAATCAGCAATTGCCTGTAGCAGACATGGGCTGCACTCAGCAGGGCTGGGAGCAGTGCCTGAGGCTGACCAGAGCACTGAGCCACGGACATGGCACCAGCACAGAGCACAGAACTCAGCCCCTGCAGAAGTTCCACTGGCACAGCCCACTCCTACACGGCCTTTGGCACCACTGGGTTTCTGCAGGCTGCCACCAAAGCTCTGCACTTTGCTTTGCAGCAGTAAATCCCAACTCGGTGGAGCGGTGGTGTGGCTGTGGGTGGAGGGAGATGTCGGCTTTCAGGTGCCAGCCTGCTGCTGGAGGTTGGGACTGCACTGGGATGAGCTCCCACAGCTCCTTGCAGGAGCTTTGGTCCCAGGGGTGGTGCTGGCACTGACTTGCACACTACTTGCACACCAACAACCATTTCCTGCAGCAGCAGTGAGCACCCAGCCCAGAGCACGCTGCTTTAGGGGAGGGCATGGTTTGCATTGGATTGTCGCTCAGTGTTGCTTTAAAGCATTGCAAATCTTAAAATGTCTGATCCCGCTGCCAACACGCTCTGCTTTTTCCTCCTATCTGCAGAAACAAATCCCTCTCGGCTGTGCACTGTGTGCTGTCACAAAGTAAGGGGTCATGGCCATGAGCAGGTCAGAATAGTTTATTGCTAGAGTTATAGGGGGAGCACAGTGCAGCACAGACAGATGCTGCTGCCGTTTGCTGCTCAAACCAGGCTGCTAAAGGTTCAGTAGACTTCAAAGTGATGCAACCAACTCACGCCAGGGAAGCAGGATTTGGCCAACAGCACCAGCAATGGGAACACATCAGGTAAGGGAACTCCACCCAGCGTGCACAATTTGCTCCTTTCCTCATTAATTCCTACTGACAGGTGAGCTAATTAGCTGCAGATAACTATTTCTGCAGTGGGAATGGGTAGGCTGACTTCACTGCTGGACTGAGCCCTATGGGTAGAACCACACAACCACTGAGGTTGGAAAAGACCTCTGAGATCCCCAGTGCAACCCCAATCCAGCCCCAGCTCATCCTGCTGCCCATGTCCCCAAGTGCCACGTCCCTGTGGTCACTGCTCCCTGCTGGAACAGAAATGGACACAGCTCTCCTGCACGCCCTGCGGCTGATGCATGGGATGACCCAGACAGAAAAGGCATCGCACATCACACCCATAAGTTCTGGGACCATCCCACCTTTCTCAGTGGGATGGGAATCAGAATACATCCTGGACATTTCCTCCCACACGGCTGGTTTGTTCGCTGCTATTCCTTGCATGCAGCCACGCCAAGCAGAGTCAAATCAAGCTAATAATGCATAAAGGGCTGAAGCAGAGAGAGGTGAAGGTTCAGGAGGAGGCAGATGGAGCACGGCCTCACTGCAGGAGCTTCACGTAGTTTGCAGGGAAGAGCCCCACTTTGCCGTGGCACTGCCCTCTCCACCAGCCTTCATCCACCATCTCGATGTGTGTGATGGTGTCATCAGGATCAAAGGAAATCTCATCATCTCCATCTGCAGGGATTGATCAGAGCAGATGGTGGCCGTGCTGGGATGGACTGGTTTACATCCCTCCCCTCCTTCTCCCCATGCAGGCTGACAGGTCACAGACCTCATCCCACCCAACCCCCACCCCTGCAATCAGCACGAACAGAGTGGAGCAAGGAGAGAAACCTCACAGGTGAACGATGAAGCAGAGGTTCCAAAGCAAGCTCTCCTTTTACTTTCCACAAGGAAGACATTTAACCAGCTGAGCCCAACCCCTTCCATCACAGCTGCTGTGAGCCACCACCTCCCATCCCCTGCCGAGCTCCCAGGGCCAGGGTGACCACCTTCCACACTGCTGGATGGCAGACTCACCTCCTTGGTAATCGTAGAGGGCCACTGCACAGATCCCAGGACTCTCCACCTCATAAATGCTGTCCGTTCCCCCTGCAGAAGACAGACAGGTAGATGAGACGGAGGCTGAAGGCAGCCATGGAGGTCCGTTTCGTGCCCATCTGTCTGTCCTGCTGTGAGCCACATCCATCCCCTGTTGGCACAGAGCGGTGCACCGCGGCTCAGCGCACAGCACGCATTGCTTCCGTGGCTAGGAGGAGGGAGCAGCAGTCCTGGTGCTTCGTGATCCTCCTTCAAAGCCTGGATAGAACTGCAGCTCCTCCTTTTTGCCAGGCAAAGTGGCAATGGAAACAGCAGCAGCCTCTCGTGCAATTTGCTCACAAACTCCCTGCTCCCCTGGCACCCAGGAGGCACCAGCAGCTCAGGTCTCCGAGCACTGTGAGCTGTGAAGGATCAGAGCCAGCCCTGCAGCCCCACCGGGGGTCCCTCAAAGGAAACAACGCATCAGGTGCAGCCCTCCTGCCCTTGCCTTCAGCAGACACCCTCTGCCCAACCCTGCACCCCACGCTGCTGATTTGTGCCTTGGAGCAGGGCGAGGGGCTGGGATGCAGCCAGGTCCCAACCAACACGGACTGCTAAGCTGAACCACAGGACTTCAGGACACCAAACCCCCCTCGGTTTGTCCATCCACCCAGACACTCTCCGAGGCTGTTTTCCCCACGCTCACCCCCGCAGGGCTGACTCTGGCTGGGCTCCTCGGGAATGACCTCGTCATAGTCCTCCCCTTCATCCTCCTCTCCCAGGCTGGGGGTGGCACTCGGCTTTGCCGCGGGTGCCGGCAGCTCCTCGTAGTCAGCGCCTGCACTGACGCTGTCGCAGTAGTCGGAGCACTCCAGCAGCTCCTCGTAGTCTCCACCATCAAAAGTCTCGCTGTAGATGGGCTCCTCCTCCTCCTCCTGGTTCAGATCTGCTTGCCTTGGGGGCAACGCAGGTGCTGTCTCCTCCTCCTCCTCCTCCTCTCCTTTTGCCTCCTGCCACGGAGTGAGAAAACAACAGGAAAGTTACCTGCAAAGCACCCACTGCAGGCAGCTCCACATTGCACAGCACCCAACCAAGGGCGCCCGCATCCACAGAGCCACCGCAGCACCAGCAGAGCATCATCCACACCCAGAGCTCAGCAGCCAGCTCAGGGCAGACTCTCATGGCTCCAAGTCTATCTCACACCATACAGCCTGCCATACTGCCACAGCAGTCACCAACCCCCCCAGACCACCCTCTGTGGCTCAAGGTGCTGTGCAGCCATGTCCCAGCACCACCACAGTGTTTCCTTCTCGTCTCCCTGCAGGGCTGTGGGGCTCAGCCTCTCCATCCCCTCTCTCAGCACCTGCTCTCCTTGTGGCATGGGCTCCTGCTCAGCTCTCGCAGGGACCCTCGCAGGCACAGGGGCAGGAGGTGGCTCTGTGCGGTCCGTCTCTCTTTGTGGGATTTCCTGCTGGAGGAAAGTTGGCAGAGCCCTTCAGTCCCTTTCAACCACATCCATCCCCATCCCCATAAGAGCAACTCTCAGACAATCCTCTTCCCACTGAAATCTGCTCCAGCTGCCACAAACTAACAGATGGACACCAGCAGGTCTGCAGAACAGTCTACTCTGCTGGTCCTGGGGACACAGGGAAGTGAGGGTCATGGGGAAATGGTGGCCATGGAGAGGTGATGGCCACAGGGAGATGGTGGACCTGGGAAGATCATGGTGATGGCCACGGGGAAGGTGATGGCCATGGAGAGCTGGTAGTCACAGCGGGGAGATGGTGGCCATGAGGAGAGTGTGGCCATGGGGAGATTGTGGCCCTGGGGAGATGGTGGTGATGTCCACAGGGAGGTGATGGCCATGGGGAGGTGATGGCCCTGGGGAGGTGATGGCCACTGGGAGGTGATGGCCATGGGGAGGTGATGGCCATGGGGAGGTGATGGCTATGGGGAAGTGATGTCCATAGGGAGGTGATGGCTACGGGGAGGTGATGGCCATGGGGAGGTGATGGCCATGGGGAGGTGATGG